GGAATAGAGTGCTGGGAAATTTCTATCATCAGATTTATACTAGAAAGGTCATGATGATCAGGAAGCAATGGGATGCTACTCAAGGATAATAGTGTTAATTCTGTCCAGAACAGATAGAACACAGAATTTGTGAGTGCTGGAGAACATGTCATCCCATTACTTTATTTCACAAATCTCAGAAAAGTTAAGTGACCAGTTCAGAGGTACTTAATTATTAGTTAAAAATCCAAAATTCAAACCCTATGATTCAAATTCCCAGCACAATGCTCTTTCTAACATTGTTTTTATCCATTAAACTCCTCAACTAGGGTTGGGCAACCTACACTGGTGGTCCTCAAACTTGAACATGCCTCAGAATCACCAGGAGGCCTGGTTAAAACAGATTCCTGGGCCCAACCCTGAGTTTCTGATTCAGCAGGTCCAGGGTGTGTGTAGGTGTGTGAGAATGTGCATTTTTCTCAGAAGTTTTCAGGTGATGCTGATATTGCTGGTTGAGGAATCACACTTTGAGACATCAAATCTGCATGAAGCAGGCTTAACAATTCTTCTATCAACAGGGTTTCTAATGGTTGTAATTTCTGTTGTTCACTCCTTTGGCCTCTAAAAATATAATAAATGATCAAAATGCCCTGTCCGAAAACTCAGTGGCTCTCTATTGTCTCCCAGCATTGGCTTTCATATCAAGACTGGTGTGAAAATGACTGTGTGTCTGGGCAGATGGCTAGTGAATGAGTCTGGAATAAGAAGGGAGCTACTTAGCACTTCTGATTAGCCCTCAGAGCTCCCAAGACCCAGTCTCCTGCCGGTGCTTCCTTCTCTTCCTCTCAACAAAATAAATAATGTTAAAAGTGCCAATGATAAGAGGATAGCCATAAAAATATGTTTTATGAACCTCCTCATGTCTTCAACCCTTAAAGAGGCAGAGGATTATCATATCCCTGTAGCAGTCAAGATTCTTAGATACAGAAATAGAATTTAGGTTAGCCAGTGCAAACACAGAGATTTAATATAAGGTATCAGGTAGCTTACAGAACGTGAGTTGGCTTAGAAGAAACTGGGACCCATGCAGAACCCTCTGGGGAACGTGGTTTTGTTTTCCCAGTCTTTACTCTACAGGAAGGCATGCTGGAAGAGATCGGGATGGTTGTTGAGTGAATGACACTGCAACACCTGCCACAGTTACCATGACCAAGTTTTATTCTCATGCTAGATGCTGATAAAATACCAGATCTTGGTTTTATATACTCCCATAATGATTTAGGACTTAGTCTAGTGTTAAAGGAGAGACGTGTTAAAGGAGAGATTGTAGCAAACTGACAAGTAAAGTGAAAAATTTGTAAATAATTCTACTAGCACACTGGCAGAAAACTTAATGATTTCTAGTCCTTGTGTTCCTGGGATTTCGGGATTCACAAAGATCTTTCATTTGAAGAAACACTTTTCTAAAGACAATCTGGTGGCTGCTACAACCTAAGGCTGATTATTTAGTTGCTGGTGGCCCTTAGGCTTATATTTTATACTATGTTTATAGTTTATACTAGGTTTCTGTAATGTGAAATTATTTATTGAAATTGAAATTTTTGGAAGTATATTGACTATAATATGTTGAGGATAAGGATTCATTTCTATCATTATTTTACAGGATATGTTAGACAAAAACATCATCAGTCTTAGTAATCAGCAGGTCTTCTTATGAACTAGGAACTAGACATGTCTTAGTCTACAACTAAAACAACTTCTCTGTAAATAGGACAGTTGATGCTGTGGCCAGGTCACTACCAAACAGAATCCAAGGCTGGAGCATCCTGCTCGGAGTCTTCATTTTATTCCATGGTAGCATTCATGGATGGCTGTACCATTGGATGAACCATTTAAACTGCTAAAACAAAGAGACTCACAGGCATTTTTCTTTCATGAGCCTGTCTAGAAGCAGGCAATGCAGAGCTGGTATATTAACTCTGTTATATTTAATACACAGCTTCCCTATCTCTGTCTGTGTTGCCTATAACAATCCTCCCCCAGACAGTGGGAAGGGGAAAAGAGGAATTGGAAAGTGCATCCTCTCTAGTTAGGAATGAAACCTAGCGTTATACACACCACTCATGGTTCACATGTCATTAGTCAGAATTTAGGCACAGAGCCACACTTACTTGCAAGGGAAGCCAGGAATTGTCATCTTTAGTTGGAAGATCTTAAACCCATTGAAAATCTGGGTGGGGGATTTTAATACCAGAAAGAAGAAACAAATGGAATTGGTGGATAGCTAGCAGTCTTTGCTACAATGTTTTCCCTGAAATTGTGGGTTGGTTTTCTGCATATCAGAGCTGCTTTGTGGGTGGACTCTACTGTGGCCATCTGTGCTGGAAGTGAAACTCCTTGAAAGGGCCAATAAGGGGAGCGCATTAAACTGATTTCCTGGTAAACAGATCAGGAAATAATAGAAACTCAGTGCTGAAAGGGATTTCAGTCACCATGTAGCCCAGTCATGCACCTGAGAATCTTAACAGAAGCACCTCTTTTTCAGACTTGCCCAATATTACGTGTGAAAACTAAGGACTTGTCGAAAGACACAGAATTATTGGTGATAATCAAGACTAAAATCTAAGGAGTCTGGTAAGTTTAATTTTCCTTCTACTGCTCCTGAATAGACCCTTCTGAGCTTGGTTTCTATCATACCACAGTCAGAGAAGAGATATTTGTGTTTTTTTATAAGCTATAACAATCTATGTATTTTTAGAGTACTGTTAGATGCTGTAGAATAATCGAGCTAGTATATTGAATTGTAATGCCCCCTTTCAGTCATTGAAACAGTGGCGTCTTGTTAGAACACAGTTCATAATTACACATCTTTGGATGACCATACAAGTTGGTGAAAAGGGTATTGAAGTAGAATTCAATGACAAGACCTAGCCTCAGCTATTTACTATCTAGATGACTCTGAGGAACTCATTTAACTTCTTTGAGACCTGTCTTATTTTTAAAACAGGACTGAAATTGAACTCAATGGTTAACTACTTAACCATTGGCATAACACAGGATCCAAGTAATTAGAACAGATGCTAGTCATGAAAAACTCGACCAGGGGACTGGTGCATCCTAGAAGAATGTCACCCAGCTCTTAGCACTATGAGTTTTCTTTGGAAGTTTAATTGCACACTGTGAAAAATTGCCACATTAGCCTGCAACCTTAGTATTCATCCTCATTTTTGGTACTTATGTGATGAAAGAATACATTGAAGCTTCCACCTAATGACTTATTTTTAGGCCTCAAATTTCAAATAAATATCAGAAAAAGGAACAAATCTCTGTAAGATTGTTCTGGAACAATGAGCAAGTATCATCTGATTAGGAAACCCAGAGTCTCCCAGGTCCTCTGTAAAATAAAGTAGAAAATAATGTAGAGACTGACTTCTAAAATGGCAAGGAATCCATTTGTCCATAAAAGGATAGAGCCCACTTCAAAAGCCTGTCACATTTCATTATGTTTCTAAAGACCTCAGCTCCAAAGAGAGGACAATTGTGGGCCTGTAGGTGAGCCTTGATTTGATCTTTAGTAAAGGTCTAGAGATAAATGTTGCAATGAGAACAGAATCCATTTAGGATAAATTGGACAGAATAATTCTAAATTACGGCCTTGAAGTTCCCACTTCACTTATAGGAATGAGATAAGGCAAAACACTCCCGTTAATGAAACATGAGCTACTAATTTCCTGAAAAAGACAAAAGGAGGGGAGTGTATTGCTCTTACATGGAATGAGCATTTTCTTTAGTCTCAGTGCTGACAATGAGAGACTGTGTCAAGGGAGAAAGTGATAGGAGAGGCAGCCTTAGATCAAAACAAAGAATAAAGGAAAGCTAAATAATGCCTCTTATCAGTTCCGAACGTGAGTTCACCTTCCCGGCTTTCAGCTGTCTCGTTCATTGCATGGCTCCATGACCACAGGGTTGAGTCTGTTCTCTGCTCCTCTGCATGTGTGTATGTGTCCATGCATTGTAATCATTTGTAAATAGTGTTTCCTTTATGGTATTTTTTCCCTGGCTCTTGAAAAAGCAGTGCCTCTCTCCCAAATGCATGAACATGGACCTATCATCACAATCTCATCTGCTTTACAGGTGGAAAATGGACCTATGAGAGCACTGGCCTTTTTGGAACTGAAAACAAGTATTCTTCTGTGATCTGAAAGCATTAAAGGTCAGATGATCTGCAGAACTGGGGAAGGTGCTCAAATCCCAGAATCTCACTGATAAGGGTTGTGGTCCTGGGAGATGGGCCCTTGTCACCCCAGCTCCTCTTCTGGCCTTCCTAGCAATCCTAGCACCACCCTGACCCCTTCTCCAGTGAATGCTCTTACCAGACTGTGGAAGAAGTGGAACATTTTGTATTGGGCAGAGAAGAGGTGAAGTTCCACCATGACCTCTGGCAGCACTTTATCTATCTTTCTTTCTCTACATGGGGAAAAGCAGCAGTGATCTGTAGGCAACAGTTTAACATGATTCTTAAGTCAATTCAAGCTGAATCCAACTTCCACATTGTGCCCTATAGTCTTAATTCTCTTTGAATTTTCTCTCCTGGATTTCTCCCAGAACCTCTGTTGTAAGTGGTTTGGGGTGTGTATATATGTGTTTTGCGTGTGATATGTGTTATGGTGAATGGTAATGTGTGTGGTATGTACATGTATGTCGGTGTATGTATGTGCTGTATGTGTATATGTTTATAAGATGTATTTGTCTGCAGCGTGTGTGTGTTATTTGTACACAGGACATATGGGTATGTGGTGTTTATGTGGGATATGCATTTGTGCATAGTGTGTATATGCTTGTGATGTGTAAGTATATGCATTTGAATGTGGGATTTGTGCATTATGTGTGTGCATGGAGGTGTGCTTGTATGTGATATAAATGTGTATGTGGTTAATTTGCATGTGGCATGTGTGTATATGTGTGTGTGGTGAATTTGTAGGCGGTATACGTATATTTGTGGAATGTGGTGTAGGTGTGGGGTGTGCAATTGTAAATGGTGTGGGGGTATGTCTGTGTGTGTTATGGGTGTGCATCTGTGTATATTTGCAGTAAATTATATGCAGTGTGTATATATATCTGCGGTATGTGGTGTGTGTTTTCAAGTGTTGTATGTTCATGTGCATTTTGTGTGCATATAGGTGTGGGAAGTATGGTGTGTATAATGTGTACTTGTATGCATTCGTATATATGTGTGTGTTATGTATTTATATGTAGCCTGTGTATGCATGTGTTGTGTGTGCCTGTGTGTGGGGTATGTATGTGGTATTTGCATATGTGTGTGGTGTCTCTTGATGTGTATGAGTGTGTGCAACATGTTTGTATGTGGTGTGTGTTGTGTGTATGATGTATGTGTACATGTGTGGTGGCATGCACACTTGTAACTGAGTATGTGTGCATGTGTTGGGTGGGGTGTGCAGTATAGCCACAGGTAGCCATTTATCCCTTAATTGTCCCAGATTTATTGAAGGGCTACTCAAAATCATTATTGCAATTAGTTCAGTCTTGAAATAAACTAAATGCAATAGTTTTTGCATAAAGTTTAGAAACAATGGCTCCTTTTTCTTGGTTCTTCCAAAGTCATGATAGGTTTCAGACAGGAACATCTAATTGTTCCAAGAGGCCTCTTTGGCCCCCCATCCCCTGGGGAGCTGACTTACGTTGCTAGAAAGTTGGGGAAGGGCAAGCCACTGTAGAAGTGTTAAAAAAAAAAATAGAGTTACTTGTTGATTTACGTATGTGCTTCATTGCAAGTCGGAGAGGCCATGAGGTTTGCACTGGCAACAGCCCTTCTTCTGAGTGGAGTAATACTGCAGTTGATTTTGTCTGGCTCAAACTGGGCCTTCAGAATTGGATAGGGTCTTACTTCTCAATTTGAAAATCAACTTGTCCATTCGCAAGTGGCTTGACAAAATACCCCTGACAGCCTCGTTTTAAGCTCTCTCACCTTAATATCTAAAAATGAAAATCGTACCTTCTGGCAGTTAAAAACTCTCCTTTCCATTTTTATATCATTTTTATTAGGCTTCTGAAAAATAAACCTGTCATAGATCTGAGGCACAGAGACAGGATGTGAACACAAACACCACTTGCTGAACATTCATGTCATTTGTCCCTATATGCACTCTACTCAAACAGTCGGTCTAAAATGCAATTTAGACACTGAAACAACAAACCTTTTCTCAGAATCCTCTGGCAGAGAAGCTGAGGTAGCTTCAGTTAGCAGTGCACCAAATCCTAATTACTCCCTTAGGAGCTAGTCATTAGGCGAAAACCTGCATAATGTTCTATCTCCTGCACGATGCAGATCCTGGCATATTTCTTGTTTTGTTGTTTCCTGCCATTTGGAGAGATTGCTATTTGTCACACACTAAGCAGAGGAGGAGAGGACAGCAAAGTGCATTTCAGTTCCTTGGACAATTTTGTAAATTACCAATAGATGTGGCTGTTTTGAAAAGCTTTCTTCTTTTGTGTCGCTGCATTGTGAGGCTGTCTGACACTTATGACTCGGAGCCCCTCAGCAGTGGTTGCTCAAAGGGGCTTCTGGGGCCATACCAGGTGTGTGGGAGCTGAACGATCAGGGCTTGACTTCTACCCCCTCAAATTCCCATTATCTTAAGTAGAAGAGCTTCACTTTAAAATATTTTATTGTGCTAGGGTTTTATATAACATTTAGTTCAACAAAAAAGGAGCTGATAAGCCAACCTCACTATATTCTTAAAAGGTATAGAGACTCCATGAGTAGTGCATAGTGACCTGGGGATGGCCTCATGTGTCACAATGGCCAGTGGCCAAATTAGCTGTCACCAAACTGCCCTGACCCCACATCAACAGCCACTGATCTACGGGAGAAATCTCAGATTCAAAATCTCTTTACTGCCTCAGTTCTTCCTCATCAGAAATATGAATAACTCACTATGAAGCTGGAACGATATGCAAGAGGGAGATGATGAGAGGTCTTATAAACCAGGTTAACAGGATGGATTTTATCTTCAAAGTCATAAAGTTCCAGAGATGTGGTTTGAGCAAGTTTGAGTTTTAGGGAGATCACCGTGGCAGCTGGGTGGAAATTTAATTGAAGACTGGAGAATGGAGATGGAGAGACCAGATAGGATGCTAGTGACTTTTTCTCTTTTCTCCATTTTTAATTAAAAAAAGAAATCTCTATGATGGATAAAGGTAGATGAGAACAGTGCCAAGAGAGCACTTGTGAAAGGAAATTATTTTATTTATTCAATTTATTCAATAAATATTTGAATGCCCACTACATGCCTGGTATTGTTCTAGGTACTGGGGACAAAAGCTGTTGACCCCAGGGAGCTTATATTCTAGAATGGAGGAAACAGACAGTAAACAAATAAGTTAAATGTATAGTATGTTAAATGGTGATAATGACTAAAAAGAAAAGGAAAGGAAATGTGGGGCATGCAATAGTGGCTGGGGAGGTTAGAAGTTTTTAAAAAGGTATGATGGTCATTGAAGCCCTAAGTAGGTGAAATTTCAGCCAAGACTCAGTAGACGTGAGGTGGAGAGGCAACTGTGTAGTTATACAGAGAAGAGCATTTCAAGAGGTAGGGAAAAAACATCAGGGTCAC